GTAGCCGGAGTGGTGACATTTGATACTTTTGCCCGTCGAGCAGTCGGCTAGTTTTCTCTCCCTGTAAGCTCTAATGATGTCCTCAGTTTTTTTGTTTCAGTTTCTGCCAAATCAATAAAGCAATATTCATGGCCCTTTCGCCCGTTTTTTCGTTCACCCCACATATCATCTATTTTTCCTCAAGAACATCGTTTCGTAGATTTAAGTTTTTAATTGTGTTTTAAAAAATTTTACATTGTTTTTCTGCTAGTTTAACACGGGTTTGTAGTCTTTCATTTTTTGCTCGTAATCATCAATTTTTTTAGAATAAAAATCAAGGATAGTTTGTAATTCTTTTTTGATAGTTTCATGAGTTTCTTGTCAAAATATCACTAGGATAACATCTTTATCGGGCAAGCGTAATATGTTACCTCCTTCTTGATTAAAGACATCTTCCTCCGATTCCAGTAGGATACACGAAATGCGTTTTGGTTTAGAACCATTACAGTTGAGGCATTTCCAATCAACCGATTCTGTAGCCAACTATGCACTAAGCTATTCTGTAGTTGGTGAAGAACAAACAACATGTAGCCATTTATTACATTTACTTCACTGAACTCCAGGGTTTTTTCGTAACTACTTTACATTTCGCTCACTCGACCATGTTTACGTACGCGCACACAGTCTACAATACGACTGTCGAATGAATGAAAAGACTTCCATACTACTACTTCCGAGTGCTTTATAAAAAAATAACCACGAAGTAGATGGCGGGGTCGAGTGAGCGAGCGAAGCGAGCGATTAGACCCTCCTTCCAACCTTACCCGTACGAGTCGGGATGCCCTAAGTCCTGAGCTCGCTTCACTAAAAAATTAATATATAAACATTATTACGTGATTTTTTTTCAATTTTTTTTTAATTTTTTTAAATGTGCATTATTTAATTTAAGATGTAGCAATCACTGTCAAAAATTGCATAATTTTTGTTTATTTTGTTACAAGATTTTTTCGAGGATAATATAAGTTGTTGATATATTATTGAATATAATACGTAGTGATTTTTTTAATTTTGGTCTTTTCCGTAAAAACGAAGATTGAAAAAAAACTATTCATTTTCTAGAGCGTTTATTATAACATTTAAACTCAAAAACTTAAAGTGAGATAAAAGGGTAAAAATAAGGCTAAACACTTTTCTAACTATTTTTCAATGTTTTTTTTTAAATTTTTGTTCTTTGTATAGATTAACAATAAAAATATACAAACTTCGCTTAACGCTTTGCAAAAAGTAATGAACGATTATATTCGAAGAAGTGCGTTTATGATCACATTTAAAGTCATAAAACTATATGAAATCTTGAGTGAGATATTTTCCATATTTTTTTCCATAAAGCCGCCGTAAAGACAAAGATTTAAATAAAAAATTGTCGAAACGGATGATTTTTCGATTTTCTAGAGCCAGAAAATGAGGTGACAGCGATAGCATAAAATTACCATACATTATTTTCCAATCCTCCAAAAAGTTTTACGACAGAACTCAAATATCTGTAACGCTTTAACATTACAAGGGACTACTTTTTGTTAAGAAAACCTTTTCCGAATTTCAATAACCATCCGTATCACACTTTGATAATATATAAATGTATTATTCATTGAAAGGTTAAACAACAACTGTAGCAAAAACAATAATGGAGAATTTAACTTAATAGACAGCCGACGTTTTTACTATAAGACGTATTTTTGCAAAGACCCAACTGTTTCATAAGTTGAGTGAATGTGAATGATAAATTATTGCTATTGAATATTTCGTAGTTTCGCTATAAGTATCAAAAATAGTTTTGTTGGGGAAAAGTGATATATATATATATATATATATATATATATATACGTACTCGTAGTAGAGCCAAGCTGCAGCTATAATATGGTTGTAGCTCGAATGGGTGGGCTTGACCGGGGTGGGAACACTCTCCAATAGAGTATCAGTAGCATTTTGATGCTGCGCGTAGTATGATGTTTTGTATGATTTTTGTTGTTTTTGTATGATGAGCGTAGAGAACCGGAGACCCTTTTCTGGAAACGGAGTATTTCATTTTGGTCCTCGGGGGTAACAACGCATCTGCATTTTATTTCTTGATTAAGGATAATTAATGTTAATGTCTGCGGTCCAAGGCATCCACTTACCATCAGGTGAACTGTGTGGTCGTTTGTCACCTGCTTTTTTTACAAATAAATTTTAAGCGAAACATATTTATAAAAATAAACTTGAAACATAGCCTAAACTAGTTATGAACAGTTTATTTCAGGTCTTACTATGTAAGTTTGCGTCACGGTAATCGATGAACTTATAAAGGCGTTCCTTACTGCTTCTTAGAAACTTTATATTACAAATTTTTAACTAAACTCCAAAAAAAGTAAAAGTATGTGCAATTTAAAGTAGGTTCAAGGACTGGTGGTCAAAGTTAGGGTAAAGACTGTAGAATGGAGGATGATTCAAGTCAATGTTATGACAATCTGTTGTGTTTTACGGCTAAAAAGGGGTAGTGGATTGTCATATGCAAGCACAATATGGCTTTAATAAGTATCATCGTATCTAATTATTTCAAAGCCTGTAAGACCTATCACACGATAGAGAGTGCTTTAATCAGATCATGATGTACATCCAATTCAATTTTGCCTGGAATAGTCACGTCACTTACGTGAATATTACAGGCAAAATTGAATGAGGGTATCCACGATCTGCCACTTGGGCGGCGGCACTTTAAACGGGGAGGTATAATATTTGACAGATTTCCTATCAGGGAAGTTAACTTTTACAAGTTAAGTTAACTTTAATTAATGCTATAGCTAAGTTAATCAATTGGTTTAATGTTTATAATTTGCATTTAAATTGAAGTAAAACTAAATGTATGAAATTCGTAACTCCGATGTCAAACATTTTAATACTAATGTAATTTTAAATAAGGAGGAGCTAAGTCTGGAATCACACGGCGAATGGGGCCCCAATATATCAAAACTAGCTAGCAAATTTGTTCTTCAGTATATTCTGTAAAAAAAGATTCGGTGAGGTTTTCATATATGTCGTATGATATTTTGTTATAGGGACACGCAGCTGACACTGAAATTATATTTGTTTTACAAAAGAGGGCCATTAGAGCAATATATGATTTAAAACCTAGAGAGTCGCTCAGACAAATTAATATATTAACTTTGGCTTCCAATACATTTATAAAAATGCAATGTACGTACAAAAGAATAAAAGTAATTTTGAAAAAATAAGTGATATTCATTATGTAAATACTAGAAACAGACACAAGCTAGTCGTACCAGTTACTCGACTCCACTGAGTCAGTAATTCATTCTTGGAGCGATGTATACGCTTTTACAACAAACTCCCAGAAAATATACAAAATTTGATATACATAATAAATATAAATTTGAATACAAGTTAAAAAACTTTATTGAACTAAGTTTGTATAAAAAGGATTATAATAATATTGAGGAATTTATAGATGACAATAACCCCTAAGAAGGGTGATCGCCACCAAGCTATTTCTAATTTATTTTGTGTTGTTAATTGTAAAATACATGATTGTAAGCTCTTATTTAAAAAATAGTCCCACTAGGTTTCTTGCCGGTTCTTCCCAGGACAGAAGTTTTTTTTGCGAACCAGTGGTAATGAAAAAAAAAGTGGTTTTCAATAAGTATTACATATTATCCATATTTAATCAATACTATTACCTATATTTTATATGAATTATTTTAAAAATAAATAAACCAAACCCCGATTATTCATTAAAGTAAAATAATTATTAAAAGAGTTGGAAATGTGCAAAAATTAAAGAGCAAAGCACTGAGGCATTGTCTTGTATAATATAATACTCTAGAAACTGATAACTATTATTTAAAAGTAAATTCTCAAATAACTGACATTGAGTAACAAAAAATTTCACGTTAGTGTCAACTAACGACATCTGGTTTTTTTATAGAATAGGGTGACAAACGAGCACACAGTCCACCTGATGGTAAGTGGTTGCTGTGGCTCAGAGGCATCTTCATCTGTCCTCGATTACGAAACAAAATGCAGATACGTTGTCATCCGTGAAGACAGGTGGAATGCCTCGTTTCCAGTAAAAAGGGTCTCCGGTTCTCTATACTCACCATACGAAACACACGAGCATTAAGCTACTATTTGACGCTGGTATTCTGTGAGAGCGTTGTTCCTTCCCGGTCGATCCGACCCATTCGTGCTACAACCATACTATTAATATATATATATATATATATATATATATATATATATATATATATATATATATATATATATATATATATATATATACATATATATATATATATATATATATATATATATATATATATATATATATACCTTGCCGTATGGTGTGCGGCGGAGTAGAATAGCACCACCCCATATCTACCTGTGGGTGTCGTAGAAGGCGACTAAGGGTGTGTGGAAAAGGACTGACCCCCTGTACCTTTTTCACTGATATACCTACTGTTCCATCTGTCCGAGTCCCTCTCCGGTCGTAACGGTCTCCGTTCCACTGGGTCCAGGGGGACAAAGACGAGTACGTGCACCTGTGTTCGCGCGTACACTTGTGCACGTTAACATCTCCTGCGCAATTGACCTACTTCTAATTAGGACTCCGATCTAAGTCAATGTCCTACGGCGATGGGAGGAGGTAGAGAGGCTTAACGTGATGCTCGTTGGGTTTTGTCTGACTCCTGCACGTAGGCGGTCTTGGGGGTGTAGTATACATCGTGGTCGTTTCTGCCCCGCATCGGGGTGACGGAGCGGATTGGGCAGCACCCAAGGTGACAAAGCAGCCCTATTCAGGGAGGCACTGCTTTCCTCGCTCAGCCGGGGAGGGGGCTAGAAAAGGTACCCTAAACAAATTCTCACTCCAACTCTTTAGGATGGTAGCAACCGCGGCTGCCTCCGCATCACAAATCCACAGTCGACGCCACAGAAAATATAATGAAAATTTTAATTTATTGAAATCAATGACATTCGGCGCGTGTAATGTGCGTACACTTCTTGACCGAGAAGAAAATGCCTGCCCTGAGCGGAAAACTGCCATCGTAGCTCGGGAACTAAGTCGCTATAATATTGATGTGGCTGCACTCAGCGAAACACACCTCTCCGATGAAGGAGAGCTGGTAGAACACGGCGGCGGGTATACTTTCTTTTGGAAAGAAAGTATACCGCCGCAAAAGGACTCGCTTCCTCAGAGCCGCGAAGGTCTGGTGTAGGCTTTGCTGTCAAGAACTACCTTGCTGCTCAACTGCAAGAATACCCTGTACACGTCTCGGACCGCATTACCACATTGCGCCTTTACATGGGACGTGAAAACTATCTGAATGTAATCAGTTTCTATGCCCCTACGCTAGATAAGTCTGATGAAATTAAGGACAAATTTTACGAAGAATTGACGCAGTGCATAGATTTTATCCGTCCAAGGGAGCAAATCCTTCTCTTGGGCGACTTTAATGCCCGAGTAGGACGAGATTATGACGCCTGGCCTAAAGTTCTTGGCAGACATGGTGTTGGTAAAATGAACAGCAGCGGCTAACTGTTGCTTTGCTTTTGTGCACAATTAGATCTTGCAATTACAAATACTATGTTCAGATTACCTGCCAAGTACAAGGCAACGTGGATGCACTCCAGGTCGAAGCATTGGCACCTTATCGATTACGCTATCGTGCGTCAAAAAGACATCTCTCAGATCCTAGTCACCCGTGTTATGCGTGGTGCTCACTGTTGGACTTGTTGACAGGCTTGTTGTTATTAAATTAAATCTTCGTCTGCCACGTCCTTGTAGATCTGAAAGACTTAAACAGATACGTCTGAACCTTGAACGACTCCAAGATACTAACACGAGGGCTAAATATGCCGAAACCTTGAGCACTGCTCTGCAGCCCCTCGACCTAAAATCAGGTGAGATCAATACTGTCTGGGAGTCTCTATCTTCTCATGTTCTCGACACTGCTAAATCTACTTTAGGTTTGAGAGTTCGAAAACATGAGGACTGGTTTGATGATAATGATGGGCACACCGTAGGCTCCAAAAGCAGCACAGTAGAACTCATCAGAGTGGAAGTGTTAAGGAGTTGCGTCATAGTGATCTGGAGCTGCATAAGCTCGCAAGATAAGCGAAAGATAAGTGGTGGCAGGAGAATTCTCGTCAGATGCAGTGGCTCGCTGATACCAACCAACTCGGTGAGTTTTATGCTGAGGTGCGACATCTACTCGTTACGTCCTCTATGGCAGAAGTTCCACAGAATTCAACTAGTGGTGAAAGTGAGCGCTTTTTAAAAGTAGGGAGGAAATACTCGAGCGATGGGCGGAGAATTTTAACACCCTACTTAACGTGGATCATTTTGTTGACCTAGACCATGTTTGCTGCCTACCTCAGCAACCTTTCGCCCTTGAGCTCGATGAACCAGTCTCGCCTGACGGGGTTGCTCTTGCCATTATGCAACAGCAAAATAAACGCGCGGTTTGTGTTGATTTTATACCGGGTGAATTATTGAAGTATGGCGGTGGGGATTTGTATTCGGCGATATGGGAACTTTTTGTCATTATGTGGGAAAAAGAACAAGTTCCTAATACTTTTAAGGTTTCCCTCATACGAGCCCTATATAAGGGCAAGGGTGACTGGTCGAACTGCAATTCTTACCGTGGCATTTCTCTACTTTCTGTGCCTGGAAAAATCTTCGCCATACTTCTATTAAACCGCCTCAGGAAACTTTCTGAAAGGATTTTGCCGGAATCCCAGTTCGGCTTTCGACCAGACCGTGGTAACTGTGAGGCGAATTTCTCATTGCGTCAACTGCAGGAAAAAAGCAGAGAACAGGTTCGTAATATGTATCTCTGTTTTGTAGACCTTGAGAAAGCATTCGATAGTGTACTGCGAGAAGCCCTCTGGATAGTGCTGCGGAAAATTGGATGCACGGGGAAGTTTGTGAGACTTCTGAGACTCCTGCATGACGACATGCTGAGCTGCGTCGCAGTAAACGCTGATCATTCAGAATTTTTTCCCGTTACCTGTGGGGTAAAACAAGGGTGTGTCCTTGCACCCACACTTTTCGCCTTATACTTTGCAGTTGTAGTCCAGGAAGTCTTAAAAACTACCCCTGAAGGAATCCGCATTCGTTTCCGCAATGATGGCAATCTTTTCAGCTTAGGCAGATTTAAGGCCCGTACGAAAGTGTCTTACACACTTATTACAAATATCGTCTACACAGATGATCAATGTTTTGTGGCCGATTCCCCAGCTGGCCTGCAACAGCTCGTGACCACCTTTCATGAGTCGTGCCGTAGTTTTAGTCTAAAGATAAGTGTTAAAAAGACGGAAGTGATGTCTTTAGATGTCTACGGTCAAGAGATACTGGCCATCAAACTCGGTGAGGGCGTAACGAAATGTATAGATACTTAAGCAAGTCTATACATTTCGTTATCTGGGGAGCACGATAACATCAAAGTGTGACCTTGATTCTAAAATTAACAGTCGGATCGGTGCCGCTGCTGTGGTATTCGGTAAACTGGATCGCAAGGTCTTTGGTTCACATGACCAAAAGCTGGCTACCAAAATTGATATTTATAAGGCTGTAGTGCTGTACGGACGCTGGATCGCTTCCACTTGCAATTTCTGCGCAAAATTCTAAACATCCGTTGGTCTGATCGCACTCGAAACACGGAAGTGCTGCGTAGAGCCCATACCATGGAGATTGAGGCCTACCTTATGGAGCGACAACTCCGTTGGTGTGGACACATATCGCGAATGTCAGAACAGCGTACAGCAAAGTGCATCTTTTTTTCTGAACTTGAGAAGGGCAAGCGTAAGCATGGCGGACAACTCCTCAGATACAAAGATGTACTTAAGCGCCACATGAAGAAGTGCGACATTGAGCCTTTAGAGTGGGAGCAAGCAGCCGCTTGACGACCGGAGTAGAGGTCTAGGGTGAAAGCCAAGGTCAAAATGTTTGAGGAGAATCGCTGCTCTGAATTGGATGCCCGACGTGATGAACTCAAGGCATGCCCACCTTGTGCGATTAACTATAATTTCTGTAACGATGTGCTCACCTGCCCGCATTGCGGGAGAACATTTGTAAACAAGATCGGCTACGTTAGCCATGCGCGAGTACACCAATGACAGGATCGGAGTTTAAGAGGTCGCCGTTGCCGAACGGGAGGTATAATATATATATTAATATAACTGCGCATCTTACGTAAAAAAGGTGAGCGAAAGATTATTAGCCCTCCTTGAAGTGTAATCGCGTGTCGTTTAAATTGCAGTTAAAATATTATTGTGGCATGTTTAGTAATTACTTTCATATTTTGTGGTTGTCGTTTAGTAGATCCAAACTTCAAAGTAATAATGTAAAATGATATATTGTATTTTTTTACATTGTATGTATAAAAATCGCTGTCCGATCTGAAAATTGTTTTTAGGTATAGGTAGAATATAAATAAAAATACCCCACAAAAATAAAATAAAATGAAATTAAATGGAGAAACTTACATGGCAGTACATAAAGTGCGGGCGTGAAGTCGTCATGTAACAATATTGTTTGTTCAAAAATTAATAATTTGATGTCTTTTTCCGTATTGTCGTAATAGTAACTGGTGTTCCCCTTTTGAATTTCGGGGAAATTTCTTTATATGATGTATTTTTCCGTAGTGAAATATGCTAACTTGGTAAATTGGAGACAAAAAATTGAAAACTAGAATGAAACTTCTTACGAAATAAAAACAATGCTCTTTTTACAAATATCTGTCATTTTATTATAGTATTATTATTAATACCACCATCATTATTACCTTTACAAGTTTACTGCTGAACGTAATTTCCCCAGGTAATGCAATAAAGCACGTTATTGAGCCATCTGCATCCATCGATTTCCTGCGCGTCTTACCAGGTTATCAGTTTATTTTAGTGGGAGATATCCCATACTCCACTTGACGATTCGAAGCCGCCACTTTAGAACCTTTCATCTTCATCGGTTGCCGGATCAGCTATAAAGCCGTGCTATTGCAACTTCATCTTTTTGATTTCGGATCGGCTGCGGATATCAATTCAATTCAATCACTAGTTTAATTACGTTTACAATGGACATTAAATATTTACAATAAATCACTTATATAACCTAACACTAATTTTGACATCTTAAAGTTTTGGTTTAAACTCGAGTTTATCTCTGAATACCGGCTTTAGAGTTGCAGCGTAACTCTACTTAGTAAACAGTAGTACTAAATTGAACTTCAGAGAATAAACCAAGCACAACATCAAGCACAATTTCTAAATTATCTACCTCTTTCATTCAAATAGAACTATTGTTCTACTGTCACGCGCACAGAAGCTTAACGTCCAGTACAGTTCAAAGATTTACAATAGAGAGAGCATTCCACAATTATATCATGGTCTGCTTGTAAGCGGCGATTAAATACATTGTTATGTCACCAGTCTTGTCTCTCCTATTCAATGGCCTTAACCTTATTCTACCTGTAATATTAAAGTAAATGGTAATATTGTACTTGTAAGTAAACATTGTTCATGCCTACTTACTTTTTATAGCATTAGGTGACAAACAAGTACACAGTTTACCTGATGGTAAGTGGATGCTGGGGTTTATGGAAATATACATTAATTCTCAATTAGGAATCAAAATGCATATGCGTTGTCACCCCTGAGTACTAAGATAGAATGCCTCGATTCCAGTAAAAAGGGTCCCTGGTTCTCTACACTCACCATACGAAATACAGCAGCATAACGCTGCTATTTTGTGGTGGTTCTTTTATAAGAGCGCTGTCCTGCCCTAGTCGAGCCGACCCATTCGTGCTACAACTATAATATAGCTACAACGTGGCTCTACCACGTAAAAACTTAAATTTGTATACTTAATCCGCCTTACAACAAAACGTTGTTCCTATAGTATTCTTTTAAATTTAGTCGAATACTACACATTAAAATGAATACATTTTTTGTTTAAGAATAGTCCTTCAAACTAAAGAAGCTTCTTTGCATATACAGGGTGTCCAGTAAGACAGTTCAATTTTCAAATTTGAATTACGCAGCAACGGTTGGCGCGGTGAAGTGGGGAGAGGTCTCAATCGACTTGTCAGGCGTGCGGGTTTAACAGTCGCGATGGAGTGTTGGACCGGAGCGTAACGTGCTTTTTCTGTCGAAGCTTACTTTAAGAGTGGTGACTCGTGCGCTGCTGCGCTTCGGAAATTTCGTTCTCAATACAATA